TAATAATAATAATAATTTTTATTATCACACTGGCCGATTCCCACCAAGACAGGGTGGCCCGAAAAAGAAAAACTTTCACCATCATTCACTCCATCACTGTCTTGCCAGAAGGGTGCTTTACACTACAGTTTTTAAACTGCAACATTAACACCCCTCCTTCAAAGTGCAGGCACTGTACTTCCCATCTCCAGGACTCAAGTCCGGCCTGCCGGTTTCCCTGAACCCCTTCATAAATGTTACTTTGCTCACACTCCAACAGCACGTCAAGTATTAAAAACCATTTGTCTCCATTCACTCCTATCAAACACACTCACGCATGCCTGCTGGAAGTCCAAGCCCCTCGCACACAAAACCTCCTTTACCCCCTCCCTCCAACCTTTCCTAGGCCGACCCCTACCCCGCCTTCCTTCCACTACAGACTGATACACTCTTGAAGTCACCCTGTTTCGCTCCATTCTCTCTACATGTCTGAACCACCTCAACATCTCTTCCTCAGCCCTCTGGACAACAGTTTTGGTAATCTTTATTTACTACAAGTACATGTACATGGTATACAGGCCTAGCTGACATCAATGACATACTACTATATAGAAAGCCCCTTGTTATGCTGAGCATTTCGGGCAAATTAGGTCAATGTCCCAGGATGCGACCCACACAAGTTTACTAACACCCAGGTACCCATTTTACTGATGGGTAACATAGATAACAGGTGTAAAGAAACACTCCCAGCATCTCTACTTTGGCTGGGAATCAAACCCAGGCTCTCACCTTACGAAGTGAGAGCCTGTGTCTCAGAGAATATGAGACACAGACAGATGCAGAGAGACAGACACACAGTCAGGCAGACAGAGAGAGAGACAGAGATAAGCAAAGACAGACATGTTTATGTGTGTGTGGAACAGTAAGATCAAATAAAAAAAACATGCCAAGGTTGTAATAAAGTTGGTAGAATTACCAATTATATGTAAAGTAAAAGGACACAGTGCAACTAATGTGACATTTTATTGTGGCAACGTTTCGCTCTCCAGGAACTTTGTCAAGCTGTTACAAACAGTACATGGACACAGAGGGTATATATAGGCTCAGAGTGAGGTGCAATACTAGTGGTAGTAGTAGTAGTAGTGATATAAGTTGTAGTAGTAGTAATACAATATGTCAGAACAATTAACTTGCACATGAGTAAAGGATATAAAAGTAATAGCTTTTATATCCTTTACTCATGTGCAAGTTAATTGTTCTAACATATTGTATTTCTACTACTACTATTACAACTTATATCACTACTATTACTACTACTACCACCACTAGTATTGCACCTCACTCTGAGCCTATATATACCCTCTGTGTCCATGTACTGTTTGTAACGGCTTGACAAAGTTCCTGGAGAGCGAAACGTTGCCACAATAAAATGTCACATTAGTTGCACTTGTGTCCTTTTATTTTACATGGCAAGGTTCACTGGCATGTTTCACCATCAGCAATACTGGGTGACTGCACCATCATCAGTGTAGAATGCCACTGGGTGACTGCACCATCATCAGTGTAGAATGCCACTGGGTGACTGCACCATCATCAGTGTAGAATGCCACTGGGTGACTGCACCATCATCAGTGTAGAATGCCACTCTGTGACACTGCTTCAACAAGTTTCATACATTCCAGCATTTCTAAAAACATAAATAATTTGAATATACTGTAGTTGTAGACCAAGTTGTGACCATGACCACCTGTCACTGAGTTTCTGACTGAGTACTATTTCTGTACCTAATACAGTAGTACCTCAGTACTCAAACAGCTCCCTGCTCAAACAATGTGGTATTCAAACACTTTGTTCAGTAAAAAATTACTCGGTAGGCCACCGTTTGCTCGGCACTTAATCAAACAAACACAACCTGCCAGAACTTCGCTGTTAACTATTTTGTGTTTCTTCGCATTTTTTTTTATATTATTTGCATAAATAAGTCACTATGGGACCTAAGAAGATTAGTGATAATAGCCAACCAAAAAGAAAATTGGTTGGAAAAAATTTGTTTGGTACTTAAACAGATTGGCACTCAAACAGCCTTCTGGAACAAATTAAGTTCGAGTACCGAGGTACTACTCTATTAGTGTCAGATCAAAGACTGGCTATAAAATCACAAGAACTATTATAAATTGTAATTATCAGAACATGAAAATGATGTAAACTGAAAAAGAGAAAAAAGTATATCAGCAATACTTCTGCAAGCAGCAAGACCCCCATGTTGCCATCACATGAGCATCCAGTGCCAACTTTGCTGCCTTATATCTCGATAAATGCTGGCCCTAAATTTTTTTTGGTCTTTTTACATACAGAAAATTGTCCTTTTGTTTTCATTTTTTTTTTTTCAAAATATTTGGAGAGCTAGCAGTGAAAACATAGATCTACACTTGGACAGTTAAAGGGTTATTAATATTCATATCTTGCTTCATATTCTTAATCTTACATTTGACTTAAGTGATAAGACACAATTACTACAAGTAAAGAAATAATTGTTAATATGGATATACTTAATGTCATGTCATGATGCAAAATTATCCATTTTTTTTAACAAATTTCAGAATTTAATGCAAATATTTTACCTCACATTATTAACCCATTTGCTGTTGGTCCCATTACATAACAGGTTAGAAGCCAGAGTCAGTCACATAGTACTACACCATGAGCTCATCTCATGCAGCTAAGCCATGAGCAGTAAACTTGGGCCTAGATATGAGAGAATGGGTCTATGCGGTAAGTGTGCACCATATAATAAAAATCCTGCAGCATGCAGTGCACAATGAGAAAAAAACTGTGACCATTAACCAGACTAGGGGTCAACAATCTATATGAATTCTTTATGACTGAGACCCAAAATCTGGTCATCTCAAAAATCTCTGATATTATCCTAATACCACAAGACTTCAGAAAGGTAATAAATGACATGCCCAAGCACTCTGCCCCAGGCCTGGACTCATGGAACTCCATGTTCATGAAAAACTGCAAGAAACCCCTGTCATGCACCTTCAGCATTCTATGAAGAGAGAACATGGACACAGGGGTCATCCCACACTCAATAAAAACAATAGACATAGCCCCATTTTACAAAGGTGGCAATAAAGCAATTGCGAAGAATTACCAACCGACAGCACTAACATCCCATATCATAAAAATCTTTGAAAGGGTTCTACGAAGCAAGACTGCCAACCACCTAGATACCCATCAGTTACACAATCCAGGGCAACATGGGTTTAGAGCAGGTCACTCCTGCCTGTCCCAGCTACTGGACCACTATGACAAGGTCTTGGATGCTATAGAACAGAAACAAAATGCAGACGTAGTATACAGAGACTTTGTAAAAGCCATCAACAAGTGCAACCACTGTGTAATAGCACACAAAATGTGTGATAAAGGAATAACAGGAAAAGTTGGTAGATGGATCTATAACTTCCTAACAAATAGACTACAAAGAGTAATAGTAAATAGAGTAAAGTCTAAGGCAGCTACAGTGAAAAGTTCTGTTCTACAAGGCACAGTACTTGCTCCCATCCTATCCCTCATCCTCATTGCTGACAAAGGTAGAGATGTAAGCCAGAGCTCTGTGTCTTCCTTTGCAGATGACACTGGAACTGCCATGACAGTGTCCTCCGCTGAAGACACTGGAAGACACCAAGCAGACATCAATCAAATTTTCAAATAGGCCACTGAAAACAATGTGAAGTTCAATGAAGAGAATTTTCAACTACTCAGATATGGAAAACTTCAGGAAATTAAAACTGTATCAGAGTATACAACAAATTCTAACCACACAATAGAGCAAAAAAGTAATGTGAAGGACACAGGCATGATAATGTCAGAGGATCTCACTTTCAAAGACCACAACCATATATATCTACCTCATCTGCTAGAAAAATGGTAGGATGGATAATTAGAACCTACAAAACTAGGAACATCAAGCCCATGATGATTCTCTTCAAATCGCTCATTCTCTCTAGGCTGGAATACGGCTGTACACTAACTGCCCCCTTCAAGGCAGGTGAAATTGCTGACCTGGAGAGTGTACTGAGAACTTTCATGGCACACACAAAGACAATAAAGCACCTAAATTACTGGGAACAATTGAAGTCCCTTGATTTGTATTCCCTGGAACACAAGCGAGAAAGATACATGGTACATAATATACACTCGGAAAATCCTAGAGGAATTAGTACCAAACTTGCACACGAAAATCACTCCCTACGAAAGCAAAAGACATGGCAGGAGATGCAACATTTCCCCAGTGAAAAGCAGGGGTGCCATGAGTAAACTAAGAGAACACAATAAGTGTCAGGGGCCCAAGACTGTTCAACTGCCTCCCAGCATACATAAAGGAGGTTACCAATAAACCCATGGCTGTCTTCAAGAAGGCACTGGACAGGCACCTGAAGTCACCTGATCAGCCAGGCTGTGGTAACAGCCTGGCTGATCCTATGGTTGAGAAAAAATCATATATCTTGTTAACTATATCAAGAGACTGTAGTTGTGTTTCATTTGGTTTAGTTAGGACAATATCCCCAGTTTTTTTCAGTTTGTGGGTGCCCAAATGTGTCTTCCAGGTCTTCTTTAACCCTTAAACTGTCCAAACAGATTTACGTTCACATGCGTAGTGCTCCAAAAGTAGATCTACGTTATTTTACATATTTTCAAATAATATAACAAAAAAAAAAACGTAGATCAATTTTTTTTTTACACATTTTCAAATGTAAAAAAAAAAAAAGATTTACGTTTTTTTACATACTTTCAAATGTTGAAAAAACGTAAATCTATGTTTGGACAGTTTAAGGGTTAATATCTGATCAGAGATCTTTGGAGTCAAGTGCATCTTATTCATTTATATTAAAAACATATCTGAATTACTATTCTCTCCTCTTTATGTTAATTCTATATTTTTTTTTCTATATGATCTACCTAATCTGTCTTTTGATCTATTACTTACTATATTTGTAAATTGTTCCCTGACTTACCTCTTAAGAGTTACTAAAGTGCCAGTGAGCTTCTTACAACGCCGCAATGCACTCTCTAATTTATCAGGTTCTTCTTTCAGGAACCTAAGAAGAAAAGAAACAACAATAATGTTAACTATTTCACTACCTCACTATAATATACCTGTGAGTAGTTTTGAAAGTTCTACTCTGGAAACCTGGTTTAAGGCAAAGCTTTATTGTTAGCTGCTTGGTTAACCAGGTTCTTGCTGCCATGTTAACCAGCCTCTGGCTGCCAGGTTAACCAGGCTCTTGCTGCCAGGTTAGCCAGTCTCTTGCTGCCAGGTTAACCAGCCTCTGGCTGCCAGGTTAACCAGCTTCTTGCTGCCTGGTTAACCAGGCTCTTGATGCCACCTTCCATTTAATTAAGTTTCACAAAAGTAACTAAAGAAGTTATCTGGAAATTGAATAAGTGTATTATCCCTCAATTGCTACAAAAATGCTTTCCACAATATTAAATCCTTTTTTATGGGGTGGTTGATTTCATAGATGTTAAAGTTCATGTTTGTTCAGGGAAATGCATGATAAAAAATTGCTAAATTAAGGATAATCTTACTGAGTTAGAATAAAGGATAAGTACTCCATTACATCCCTTAACTCCTTGCTAATACTTCAGTCGCACCATATAAATATTAGCATTACAACATACTACTGAAATGAATGAATGAATGCAAAAAAATAAAGCAAAATTCAGAGAAAATAAAATACACAATGCTTACAGCAGTAAAGTACTTACTTTTCATTACAAATAGCTCTTTCCATTTCAGCTGATATAAGACCTTTTAAACCATCTTGAAGTATAGGAAATTTTGCCTTCAGGTCAGTTACTGTTTTGCTGTGGAAATATAATGTAACATTTTTAGCTTTGGACAATAAATATGACACATAATATTACACCACTTACAAAATTTCTAAAATATATGCATAGGTACAACACCGATTTACTGGTAATGAATGGTCCAGCAACTTTTTTAGCCCAGACAAAATTATGAGACTACTTTTTTGACAGACTAATTTACTGGGCAGCCACAGATGGCATATTATGCACTCACTCATATCGTTTACAGTGCAGTTGTTGCTGGTAATCCCTTGATTTTGTGCGATTCTTGGCATATTTTGCTAACAATTAACCCTACCTATGACTGTGGTTAACACACAAATAACCCACACATTGGAGAGAGAAGTCTATGATAATGTTTCAGTCTAACTTGGATCATTTACATGGCACACTGTGACTTGTAAATGGTCCAGGTTGGACCAAAATATTGTCATACACTTCTCTCTCCTATGTGCAGGTCATTTGTGTAGTGTTCCAGTCACAGTATTATGCCTTGTAGTTCTTTAATGTGTAGTATCTACATATATGAAATTTATATGAAAATATGTTTATGTAAGCTCTGACAATATTGGCATTGATGCTCTGTCTCAACATGGCACTTGCTCTGGTTTTTAACACCTAAATTTCTGGGACCACAGTCACACTCGTTATCTTTGAGATTCAAATGTTTGCATGTCAGACTAATATAGCTTGACTGTACATAAATTTCAATAAATTACATGGATAACCTAGTGAGCATCTACAAAGCTGTCTGCCACCCACTCACACAACATAAATACACTTTGGTAGAAAGAGTAAATTACTCTAAATGAAAAAAGAATACACGTCCTTCCAAACAGAAAGAAATAGATGAGACAATATCTTACCTTGATCTAGATAATATTAGTGCCATATTTTCTACATCTGACATATTAACACGTAGCCGTCTATTTATTACATTGTTGCGCAGCTCTTCAACCTTCAACTCCAAATCACTGTAAAGAAATAGACCTTCAAGAAATGTATATACCTTCTAACATTGAGTAACCACAAAAAAGTGCATTATTTAATATCAGTCTGTTTTTCTTACAGCTGCTCTCAACTGCACTACCATTAAAATACTGATAACTAAAAACATGCATTTTTTTTTTTTTATAAAAACAGTTAAGAGTACCTAGGGATTGGCAGAGAGCATGCACAGTTCCTTTGTATAAAGGCAAAGGGAACAAAAGAGGGTGCAAAAATTATAGGCGAATAAGTCTGTTGAGTATACCAGGTAAAGTGTATGGGAGAGTTTTTATTGAAAGAATTAAGAGAAAGATGGAGAGTAGGATAGCAGATGAGCAAGGAGCCTCTAGGAAGGGAAGGGGGTATGTAGACCAAGTGTTTACAGTGAAACACAAAGGTGAACAATATTTGGATAAGGGTAAAGAAAGAGGTTTTAGTGGCATTTATGGATTTGGAAAAGGTGTATGACAGGGTGGATAGGGGACACAATGTGGCAGATGTTGCAAATGTATGGAATAAGAGGTAGGCTATTGAAAGCAGTGAAAAGTTTTTATGAGGATAGTGAGGCTCAGGATAGAGTATGCAGGAGAGAGGGAGATTATTTCTCAGTAAAAGTAAACCTTAGACAAAGATGTGATGTCACCATCATTGTTCAATATAGTATTTATAGATGGGGTATGATGTAGCACGTAATGAAAATAGTTTATTAGATTATGTATTGGTGGATAAAAGGTTGATGGGTATGCTCCAGGATGTACATGTTTATAGAGGGGCAACTGACATATCGGATCATTATTTAGTTGTAGCTACAGTTAGAGTAAGAGGTAGATGGGAAAAGAGGAAAATAGCAACAACAAGTAAGAGGGAGGTGAAAGTGTATAAACTAAGGGAGGAGGAAGTTCGGGCGAGATATAAGCGACTATTGGCAGAAAGGTGGGCTAGTGCAAAGATGAGTAGTGGGGGGGTTGAAGAGGGTTGGAATAGTTTTAAAAATGCCGTATTAGAATGTGGGGCAGAAGTTTGTGGTTATAGGAGGGTGGGGGCAGGAGGAAAGAGGAGTGATTGGTGGAATGATGAAGTAAAGGGTGTAATAAAAGAGAAAAAGGTAGCTTATGAGAGGTTTTTACAAAGCAGAAGTGTTATAAGAAGAGCAGAGCATATGGAGAGTAAAAGAAAGGTAAAGAGAGTGGTGAGAGAGTGCAAAAGGAGAGCAGATGATAGAGTGGGAGAGGTACTGTCAAGAAATTTTAATGAAAATAAGAAAAAAATTTTGGAGTGAGTTAAACAAGTTAAGAAAGCCTAGGGAAAGTATGAATTTGTCAGTTAAAAACAGAGTAGGGGAGTTAGTAGATGGGGAGATGGAGGTATTAGGTAGATGGTGAGAATATTTTGAGGAACTTTTTAATGTTAAGGAAGAAACAGAGGCAGTAATTTCATGCACTGGTCAGGGAGGTATACCATCTTTTAGGAGTGAAGAAAAGCAGAATGTAAGTGTGGTGGAGGTACGTGAGGCATTACGTAGAATGAAAGGGGGTAAAGCAGCTGGAACTGATGGGATCATGACAGAAATGTTAAAAGCAGGGAGGGATATAGTGTTGGAGTGGTTGGTACTTTTGTTTAATAAATGTATGAAAGAGGGATTGCCAGAGAGCATGTACAGTCCCTTTATATAAAGGGAAAGGGGACAAAAGAGACTGTAAAAATTATAGAGGAATAAGTTTATTGAGTATACCAGGAAAAGTGTACGGTAGGGTTATAATTGAAAGAATTAGAGGTAAGACAGAATGTAGGATTGTGGATGAGCAAGGAGGTTTCAGAGTGGGTAGGGGATGTGTAGATCAAGTTTACATTGAAGCATATATGTGAACGGTATTTAGATAAAGGTAGGGAAGTTTTTATTGCATTTATGGATTTAGAAAAGGCATATGATAGAGTGGATAGAGACGCAATGTGGCAGGTGTTGCAAGTATATGGAATAGGTGGTAAGTTATTAAATGCTGTAAAGAGTTTTTATGAGGATAGTGAGGCTCAGGTTGGGGTGTGTAGAAGAGAGGGAGACTACTTCCCGGTAAAAGTAGGTCTTAGACAGGGATGTGTAATGTCACCATGGTTGTTTAATATATTTATAGATGGGGTTGTAAAGGAAGTAAATGCTAGGGTGTTCGGGAGAGGGGTGGGATTAAATTTTGGGGAATCAAATTCAAAATGGGAATTGACACAGTTACTTTTTGCTGATGATACTGTGCTTATGGGAGATTCTAAAGAAAAATTGCAAAAGTTAGTGGATGAGTTTGGGAATGTGTGTAAAGGTAGAAAGTTGAAAGTGAACATAGAAAAGAGTAAGGTGATGAGGGTATCAAATGATTTAGATAAAGAAAAATTGGATATCAAATTGGGGAGGAGGAGTATGGAAGAAGTGAATGTTTTCAGATACTTGGGAGTTGACGTGTCGGCGGATGGATTTATGAAGGATGAGGTTAATCATAGAACTGATGAGGAAAAAAAGGTGAGTGGTGCGTTGAGGTATATGTGGAGCCAAAAAACGTTATCTATGGAGGCAAAGAAGGGAATGTATGAAAGTATAGTAGTACCAACACTCTTATATGGGTGTGAGGAGACGGTTGGAGGCAGTGGAGATGTCCTGTTTAAGGGCAATGTGTGGTGTAAATATTATGCAGAAAATTCGGAGTGTGGAAATTAGGAAAAGGTGTGGAGTTAATAAAAGTATTAGTCAGAGGGCAGAAGAGGGGTTGTTGAGGTGGTTTGGTCATTTAGAGAGAATGAATCAAAGTAGAATGATATGGAAAGCATATAAATCTATAGGGGAAGGAAGGCGGGGTAGGGGTCGTCCTCGAAAGGGTTGGAGAGAGGGGGTAAAGGAGGTTTTGTGGGCAAGGGGCTTGGACTTCCAGCAAGCGTGCGTGAGTGTGTTAGATAGGAGTGAATGGAGACGAATGGTACTTGGGACCTGACAATCTGTTGGAGTGTGAGCAGGGTAATATTTAGTGAAGGGATTCAGGGAAACCGGTTATTTTCATATAGTCGGACTTGAGTCCTGGAAATGGGAAGTACAATGCCTGCACTTTAAAGGAGGGGTTTGGGATATTGGCAGTTTGGAGGGATATGTTATATATCTTTATATGTGTATGCTTCTAAACTGTTATATTCTGAGCACCTCTGCAAAAACAGTGATAATGTGTGAGTGTGGTGAAAGTGTTGAATGATGATGAAAGTATTTTCTTTTTGGGGATTTTCTTTCTTTTTTGGGTCACCCTGCCTCGGTGGGAGACGGCTGACTTGTTGAAAAAAAAAAAAAAGATGGGGTTGTAAGAGAAGTGAATGATCAGGTGTTGGCAAGAGGTGTGGGGTTAAAAGATAAAGAATCTAACACAAAGTGGGAGTTGTCACACTTGCTTTTTGCTGGTGACACTGTGCTTTTGAGAGATTTTGAAGAGAAGTTGCAGAGGTTGGTGGATGAGTTTGGTAGGGTATATAAAAGAAGAAAACTAAAAGTGAATATAGGAAAGAGAAAGGTGATAAGAATAACAAAAAATTAGATAGCAAAAGATTGGATATCAGATTGGAGGGAGAGAGTATGGAGGAGGTGAAGGTATTCAGCTATTTAGGAGTGGACGTGTCAGCAGATGGGTCTATGAAAGATGAGGTGAATCACAGAATTGACGAGGGGCTAAAAGATGAGTGGTGCACTGAGGAGTCTGTGGAGACAAAGAACTTTGTTCATAGAAGCAAAGAGGGAATGTATGAGAGTATAGTTATACCAATGCTCTTGTATAGATGTGAAGCATGGGTGGTGAATGTTGCAACATAGAGAAGGATGGAGGCAGTGGAGATGTCATGTCTGAGGGCAATGTGTGGTGTGAATATAATGCAGAGAATTCGTAGTTTGGAAATTAGGATGAGGTGCGGGATTACCGAAACTATTATCCAGAGGGCTGAGGAAGGGTTGTTGAGGTGGTTCGGACATGTAGAGAGGCTGGAACAAAATAGAATGACTTCGAGAGTGTGTAAATCTGTAGTGGAGGGAAGGCAGGGTAGAAGTCGGCCTAGGAAAGGTTGGAGGGAGGGGGTAAAGGAGGTTTAGTGTGTGAGGGGCTTGGACTTCCATCAAGCAGTTGTTACCATGTTAGATAGGAGCGAATAAAGACAAATGGTTTTTAGGACTTGACATGCTGTTGGAGTGTGAGCAGGGTAATATTTATGAAGGGATTCAGGGAAACCGGCAGGCTGGACTTGAGTCTTGGAGATGGGAAGTACAGTGCCTGCATGCTGAAGAAGGTGTGTTAATGTTACAGTTTTATAATTGTAGTGTAAGCGCACCTGTGGCAAGACAGTGATAGTGAATGATGGTGAAAGTTTTTCATTTTCGGGCCACCCTACCTCGGTGGGAAACAGCCGATGTGTTAATAACAAAAAAATAAAGTTAAGAGTTTCATAAATTACAAAGCTTTAGAACCTTGTGGTCATTAAAAACTTGTAACATAAAAGTTACAAGCATCACTGTCAATTCACTGTCATCATTGTCAAATTTCAGCCAATGTAACAATTTTATCCTATCAATATTAATTTACTGTTGTCATGACTAATTACTGTCATATTCCAGACATAATCACAATAAGAACATAAGATTGGAGGAACTGCTACAGGTCTACTGGTGCATATTAGGCAAGTCCATCTCAAATCCAACCATTCCCACCCATATACAGTAAGTCCTCACTTAACGTTGTAGAGAGGATCTTGGAAACTGCGACTTTAAGTGCCATGACATGTACCGAATAATTTTAAATACATATTTACATTTTTGGCTTTAAAATCAAAACATAAGGAAGATACATAATTGTTATTTTGTAGAGGGTGGCCCTACTTTACCGCACTTCGCTTTACACTGCTTTGCTAATAGTACAGCAGTTTTCTATTATAATTATTCCTCATTTATAGGCATAATAGAGGCTCTCTTTGCATTGCAACC